ATGGATGTTGCAGCACATGTCAGAGTTGTTCATCTCTCTGTCTTCTTCCCCTCTTTGACCATCAGCTCCTTGAGCCTGGTTTATTTCTGTATCTCTCATACCCAGCATAGGGAGACTAGCAAATGCTAGAAACAAAGTTTAAGGAAGTGGTTGATCACCAATGGCTCACATCTGAAATCCTAGCTACTCCAGAGGGCTGAGATCTGATTATTATGGTTTAAAGTTCTTGCAGGCGGAAAACTCTTTTATTAACCAGCAAAAAGCCAGACAGCAAAGTGTGCTAGCCTTGACAGCACCCAGGCCCTGAGTTCCAGCCCCATTACTGACACACAATAAAGTTCAAGTAGATGAATACTGAATTGAAGAGAATGATGGCAAGGAAAGAGAGAGATGAACATTGTGACTAGGTGCTAAAATCCTCCAGAGAGGTGGAGGAATACATTATAGACTTATACATAAAAACTTAGTGGCATAAACAAATGGCATTGACTTTAAAGAGAAGATACAAGGATCCAAGAGGGAATTTGGAAATGGCAATTTTTCTCTTCCCATCCAGGTAGTTGTCGAAGAATGGCCACAGCATGTTTTTCTCCTTTGACACTTCTTCCTTGCCCTGTCACCCAGCCCTCTCAATTTTTTTTCTGTTTGCTTTGCCTCACTTCCTGTTGTCCTCATGCTTAATGTGATTCAATACTCATTTTGCTAATCTCTTTGTCTCTAGACCTTATCACTTTCGCTTTACTTGCAACAGCAACAACCAGGGCTAAAGATATTTTTTTAGCACTATCACTCAGTGCATCATACTTCTCCAGGTGCTCCCATTTGAGTATGAAATCAAATGAAAACACCGCTCTTGAATTCGCCAATATCTATTCTCCAACCCTGTGTAGGCTGAGCTTTAGACAATATACAAAAACACCCTACATTTTTCAAGGCTTTTATTTACCCTTCTCTACCCATCCAGAGCCCACTTCATCAGAATTCCCTAAGGACTCATTTCCTCTATCAGACTACAATTAAAATAACTATTTCAGAAATACCTTCCTTCCTTTATTCTTTCATGTCTCCAAACTACCAAAAGGCCATGTGTCACTCTGTATTACTCTATTAATTCTATCATGGAAATACCTCTCAAATCCATTGCTTCTTCTCCACTCTTTCTTCCTGGAGCCAGTATGTCTGACACAAGAGCTTTAAGAAGAATATCTAAGCTCACACCTGTAATCCTAGCTACTCAGGAGGCTAAGATCTGAGGATCACAGTAGGAAGCTAGCCTGAGCAGGAAAGCTCGTGAGATGCATCTCCTACTAGCTACCCCAAAACTGGAAATGGATCCAGTAGAATACTAGCTTTGAATACAACATCACAAGGACAGCACTCAGGCCCCGAGTTCAAGCCCCAGGACCAGTACACACACACACAGGGTATCTAATGTCCCCAACACACACAACAGAGACACATGTGTGTACACATGCACATGCATCCACATCCAATGTTTGTGACAGGCATTTCATATTCTTTAGGTAGCATTAAATTAGCTTATCAGTGTGGCTGCTCACATTTACACCTCTAGCTTCATTCTTTCACTCTCAGTTCCTAACCTGTATGTTCCTGCAATGTACTTATGTCTCTGAACTTCATCCCCTACCAGTAACCCCCACAGCCATCCCTGCCTCTACCTCCCCTACCTTCACTCTACATTGCCTATAAACTGCTACTATGCTTTGTTTTCATTTGGGGGGACTGAATCTAGGGCCTCACATATGCTAAGAAAGCACCATAGTATTTAGCTGTACCCCAAGCCCTTCTCCTATGCTTTTAAAAATATGTTATTGCAAAATAATTGCTGATTCGCAGGATGTTGCAAAGAAATATGTAGGAAAGTCCCATGCAATCTTCCTCTGCTTTCCCCCATGCTAGCATCTTACACAATATAATACACTATCGGCATCAATAAATTTATTTTGGAGGGCTCAAGTCATTGCTCAAGTGGGAGATCACCTGCCTGGCAAGCATGAGGTCTTAATTCAAATCCCAGTACAGCCAAAAAAAGATTTTGGTACAGTCTGTTGATCTGATTCAGATTTTACCAGTTATACATCTACTCTTACGTGTATCTTTGCAGTTTTATCACTTGACTAACCACAACCACAATCAAGATACAGAACTATACCATCAGCACAAGGCTCTGTCATACCCATATAATCACATCCAATCCTAACCCCTGGCACTCAATAATAATCTTTTTTCTACCTCCGTAGTTACCATTTTATAGTGTGATATGAAGTCATGCAGTATGTATTCTTCGGCCCTGTTTACCCAGCATAATTTCCTTGAAATTCATCCATTTTTTGCATTGGATCAGTAGTTTGTTTTTCTCAAATTGGTGAGAAATATTCCACTGATATGGAAATACCAGTTTGTTTGACCATTTACCTGTTGAAATACATTTGGTTTTTCCAAGTTGAGGCTATTACAATTAAAACTGCTATACACATTCATATAAAAGTTCCTACATGAAAATAAGTCTTCATTTTTCTGGAATAAACTGCCCAAGAGTATAGTTCCTAGCTCATATGGCAATTCTATTTTTAGTTTTGTCAGGAACTGCTAAATTATTTTCTGGGGTGGCTATAACATTTAACATTCCCACCAGCAAAATATATGTGATCTAATTTCTCTACATCCTTCCCAGGAACTGTTGTTATCACTGGTTTTCATTTTATCCATCTTAAGAGTTGGCTCACTATAGTACTTCTCATGTTTTAAGACCTAAGAGTTATTGCTGTAGAGCCTTTTTTAACATCTTCTACAAATGTTGACTACTCTCTCTTCTGTTCTCTTCTGTGCTGTCTCTGATGCTTCATTTATCATGGTATTTTCATTATATATTTCCAGAGTCTCTGTCTTCCCCCTCTCTTCTGGGCTGCATGGTGATTCCGCTGTGACAGATTCCTTTCAATTCCTCCAGCATCTGGTACAGTTTCATGCTGGGCACATAGTGGCGCACTCAGCAAATGTATGCTAAGTGAGGGAAAGAATGAATGGAAAGAATAGTATTTTTACTTGCCTCTTCCGTGTCCCTCTCACCCCCGCCTTTGCTAGAAACCTTTTTAGAATAGACATAACACCTTCCTGTGTCTCCCAGCAGCAGCTAATAGGGTGCACTATTCGTGTAGATGCGCAATAAATGTCGTAGAAACTATTCAGGTGGCTTATCTTCCCTCTGCACCCAGGAGATAAGCACATAAAAGAAAGAATAGGCCTGAGAATCCTTGTATTAAAGATCATATGTCATAATTTTTGTAATATTCTTATAATCTCTACGATCACTTAAATACTAAGTCTGTATAGATGAGAAATGAAAACAAAACAGCCCTTTGAATCAAAGGATTGTTGGCTGTAGTTTCAATTACTGGGTTGCATTGGAGAAGGCAGCATTTTCTATCCCTGAATTTCTTTTGCCATTTCTGAAGGATCTGGGATTTTTCTGGGTTTTCTGCACTGGTGAAATTTGACATGTTGATTATGAGAGGGTCATTAACCTCAGAATTTTTGATCACTTTTTGACTCTGTATTTTCTCACTCTGAAGTCTGTTAATTTGCACTTGTTTATATGTCTTTGTAAGAATTACTCAGGCCCTTGAGGACTGAGATATGTTTTGTCTGGAAAGTAGATTGTAAGCCCCTTGAGAGCAAGGACCTTATAACTCTCAGGAATGCATTCTGGACATCGTCAGTGTTTAAATAATGACAGTACTAAAAGCCTGACTAAAGTCACCTGTCACATTGACATCTTCCTTTTTATCTATCAGGCTTCTTACTATTGAAGAAAACAATTAGGTTGATTTGACAGCATTGATTGATTATATTATAAATTAGGCTCAATAATATCGATTGCAACTTGTTTTGGGGTGCTTTTAGATATACCATTTTAGATCAATTGTTACCGTTCCCTTCCTTATAATACTTGTTTGGTTGCATATGCATGGAGAAGACTATATTTCATAATCTTTAAGTTCCTTTGCATAATACAAAGTAAGGTGATACCATCTAGGCTTTCAAAGTGTGCATTTCTCCCGTCCATGTCCATTGGTGATAAACTCATTGTCATCTTAAATGACCAGAAAGAATTCTTCAAGCTATTCAGTCAATGTGATGTGTATGTTTCATTTCTACAGATTTTAAAATGGAATTAATGTGTATCTATGTCCCAAGCATTTATTCAAGTTAAATTAATATGAATATTTTACCAGGCACCAGTGGCTCATGCCTGTAATCCTAACTACTCAGGAGGCTAAGATCTGAGGATCATGGTTCAAAGCCAGCCTGGGCAGGAAAGTCCAGGAGACTCTTATCTCCAATAAACCACCAGAAAATTGGAAGTGGCACTCTGGATCAAATAGTAGAGCACTAGACTTGAGCTGATGAGCTGAGGGACAGGGCCCAGGCCCAGAGTTCAAGCCCCACAACTGACAAAAAATTAATATGAATATTTCAATGAATTCTGAGTTCTGAAACAGAAGAGCAAATTTGTTCAATGATGAGGGTACAGGCAGGGGGATTTTTAAAAATCACGTTTATTAACATATAATTCACATACAACCTTATTCAGTCTTTCTGATGGAAAGTTTGATGTGATTGATAACTTGGGGGAGTGGGGTTTTTGTTGGTGTAAGTTTTTGAAGTCAAGGTCTGGTACTTGCTCAGCTTACTTGTGTATCTGGGGCTCTACCACTTGAGCCATTCCTCCAGCCTGGCTTTTTCTCAGATTAATTGGAAATGAAATCTTGTGTAACACCCCCCCCCCACACACACACAGCTTTGAAAGGAAATTCTCCAGAGTAGCTAGGATTACAGGCATGAATCACTGGTCCCTGACAAGCCTGAGAGTCTTAATTATTTACTAATTCAGCTATACCCCTGCTTGCCTCACTAACCCCTAAAACCAAACAAATCTTTGTTTTTCTGATATTTTGTGTCATTTCTCTTTTCTACAGTGTACTAAAGGAGGTATACCAAGTCTTTAATCCTACAGCAGTGGTCTTACAGCTGGGAGCAGATACGATAGCTGGAGATCCCATGTGCTCCTTTAATATGACTCCAGTGGGGCTTGGCAATTGTCTTAAGTATATCCTTCAGTGGCAACTGGCAACACTCATTTTAGGAGGAGGTAAGTACAAAAGAAAGTCACCCTCTTCCTTATTTTATTGGTTGGTATGGATAAGAAGTTGGCTGTCTTGAATTGGATAGGACCAAAACAATCTATTACATAGAAGCCTGGGTCAATGAAATCTGCCAGCTCCAAGTTTAGCCTGAGGAAGGACTGACAGGCTCCCTTCTCCTTTCTATTCAGCTCCCCATGTCAATTGACTCCTCAGCACTATTCAGTCTTTTCCAATGCCTTTGCCAAAAGGTAACCTCTGGAACTGGGAGTATAGCTCAGTGATAGAGCATTGGTCTAGCATGCACACGATCCTGTGTTCAATCCTAGCATTGAAAATAAAAGATAAATGTTACCTCAAGATCCTAAGAATAGATTTGATCCCAACAGATTGATTTATCTTCCTTTGGTGTGATCTTTGATTTTTACATTTTATACTCATCTTTCAGAACCATACCACTAAAATTCTAACTCTACTCATTTTTCAATTGTAAAATGTATGACTGGATTAAGTATACAAGGTGACTTCAAGAATGGCGCTCTTTTCCCAAAACATGGTTTTGTTATAATAAAGCAAAATGGAAATATCCAAAGAATTTCTTGGGTATCTTACCTTCCACATATATTGATACTTACTCTACTAAACAGAAATATGGGTCTACTCAATAGAAGCACTTACTGATTTGAGAGGGGGACCTTGTGAGCCTTTATCCACCTGTAAATATGTCTTGCTTAGCATCTTCTGTCTCTCTTACATGGTACAATCTTTATTTTGCTGGATGAATAGATGGATATGTTAAAATATGGCCAAACAAATTGAGCTCTAAATACAAAGATGATAGATGAGCTAATAATCTGTCATTTTGTCAATTTGTTGTAAAGTCCAAATTGGGGGAATATTGGGAAGTGGGTAAATCTATGTATATGAGTAAACATCCAACACAAATATGCCAACCTAAGCTGGGCACCAGTGGCTCACAACTGTAATCCTAGCTCCTACAGAGACTGAGATCTGAGGACTGTGGTTCAAAGCCAGCCTAGTAAGGAAAATCCTTGAGACTCTTACCTCCAATTAACCACCAAAATCTTGAAGTAGAGCTGTGGCTTAAGTTGTAGAGCACCAGTCTTGAGCAGAAAAAGCTAAAAGACAGTGTCCAGACTCTAGTTCAGGCCCCAGTATTGGCACAAAAAAATTACTAACCTAGTTCTTTGGCCAATCTCTAACCCAAGAAGGACAAAAATTAAAGGTGCTTACACAAGACAACATTTTATGAAAAGCTAGTATGAAATATATTATCTTCAACTGCAGTAGAAGGTAAAATCAATAAGAATTGTATGACATAGTATTTTGACAGCACATTAGTAAAATGTTTACAAATCAAATACTATGTGTATACCAGGAATATCTTACTACTTAAGCAAAATCTATACTGACTCTTTTTGAAATTGAGTAGCCATGACAAGTAAGTCCATCTTAGAAGTTTAGATTTTTCCATGTTCAGTGTGTTTAACATAATACCTATGCTATTTAACTATACTTTTCAGCTCTATTAATACAAAGACAGTAGAGATGGCCACTTCCTTATACTTAGATGGACCCCATTCAGGCCTTAAAGACACAGTCTAGGGCTGGGAATGTGGCTTAGTGGTAGAGTGCTTGCCTAGCATGCATGAAGCCCTGGTTTTAATTCCTCAGTACGACATAAACAGACAAATCTGGAAGTGGCGCTGTAGCTCAAGTGGTAGAGTCCTAGTCTTGAGCACATACAGGTTCAGGGACAGTGCCCAGGCCCTGAGTTGAATCCTCAGGATTGTCAAAAAAGACACATTATAGAAGCTCCTGTATCCCCAATATTCAAAAAGTAGAAAAAACATGAAAACAATACATAGATTTTTCTCAATGTCACGACTAATAGTGTCCTCTCATAGTCTTAAAAGTCTGTCATTTTGGACAATAATCTATATGGTCATCCTACTGAAAATAGACAGGAATCTATTTCCTTTAGGCTATGTTGGGGGTTATGAAATCATTTCATTCTAACTCTTACACTCTTGGAATTTAGCTAAAGTCCAGTGTTTCTAATGCTTACATTGCAGAATACATCTATTAAGCAAAAAATATGCTGATTATTGGTCAGTGTAATATGGCTGCTAGGTGACTATGACAGGCCCTGATGAGGTGGGTCAGAGAATCAATCAGCAGTCCCTTCTTCATCTCACTGTTTTTGATCTGTGCCACTAGGCCTGTGTTTTGTGGTGGAAAGGAATGTTGATATTTGAAGAAGGAAGTCTTGCTGTCAGCACTTTCCCTTTCTCTTTCCTGTAGGCTTTTAAGACTACCTCTGTCAGTAGCTTTAAAATACAAATTGCATCCAACTGTCACTTTTTAGAATTGTTGCAAAATTCATCACAGAAACCTCTACATTAGATAAGTCACCTCCAAAGATCTGGGTTCTGGAGTTGTCAGCCTTCTTGATATCTGTGTGCATGTGTGTATGTGTGTATGTGTGCATGCTGGTAGTAGGGGTTGAACTCAAGGCCTTTTGCTCTGCCTTGGCTTTCTCCTCTTAGGCTGGTGCTCTACCACTTGAGTCACATCTCCACTTGTGTGTTTTCATGGTTAATTGGAGCTAAGAGTCCCTCAGATTTTTCTGCAGGCTCACTTTGAACTGAGATGCTTGGATCTCAGCCCCCTGAGTAGCTAGGATTACAGGAGTGAACCATCAGTGCCTGGCATTCCTGATGTCTCCTAATGGACTGAAAGGAGCTTGGATTCCTCAGGGGCATATTTGTTAGGAGACAAGAGCCTCTTTAATCTGTATTGCCCTGGGAATTCCCAGTTCTACGTTGTACATAATCTGATTGATCCCCCAAAAGGTTGTCCACTACTTGGATTGCAAATATTATCACAGCATGTTTAAGTAAAATTCTGCATGTTCAGAGTTGTTTTTTAGCCCATTTATTAAAATACTTTTTTCTTCTTTCTTATCCCTTTCCCTTTCCTGCTGTTTTCCTAACTACACAATTCTTGATGGAGATAGGAGGCTATAACCTTGCCAACACAGCTCGTTGCTGGACATATTTGACCGGGGTCATCCTAGGGAAAACACTATCCTCTGAGATCCCAGATCATGAGGTAAGTAAGGCTCTGACAAGTCATCTCTTCTTTAAGGGGAAGAGCTGAGTCATTCCACCTAATCAAAATCACGTCCTCACCACTCAATACCGTTTTGTTGAGAGACACTTTAATAACAATAACACACTGTCTTGGCAGAATAGTAGACTCTTGTTCCAAAATATCCAAGACCTTCTGCCTTCTTTTTTTTTTTTACAAAAGCCCTCAAAGGCCAACCAACTTTAATTTCCTAATTAATTACAAAGACTGTGGGAAGGGGTCACCTGTTCACACAAAGCACCCTTTAGAATATGTTCATATTTTCATCCCCTAGGCTCAAAAAAGAAAGGACTAGCTCTTAAGTGTGTAAACTAAGTTTTCATCTAATTTTCAGAAGTTGCATAGGTGATATGTCCCACAGGTTCTTGGGTGATATAGTCTTTGTCTCTCAGTTGTCCCTGCCTAATGTAAAATTCAAGAACTATAAATTACTAACAAAGTCAAGTCTGGTGTGTCTCCAGCAATGTGGCCCACAGAAATTGGGACAGGATCATCTAAAATGTGAAATGTGTCATTTGTGTCTTTGCCATTTTCTTTACTCATTTGAGAGTGGTTTTGAAAAGCAAAGGTGTCTGGTACTAGTTTTCCTAAACCAAGCTAATAGAAGGCTATCTGGGACCTGAGAGTGTGCTTATAATGGTTTACACAAAGGTGTACCATTCTGGTTCTCCACCTCCACACCTGGCAGGCAATATGCTGTTACAGATCAGGATGTGGCTATAGACCTTCGACAGTATGACTTAGAATAACAAATCAGTGCATGCAGCCCCACCTTCTCCAATTATTTCCCAAAGATAAGGAATGGTGTTTTGGTTGTAGATAACATTTTAATGATAATTACCAAAAATAAACAAAACTGTATGAAGGCAATATGTTTTGTGTCACAAATAGAAGATACACTATACTTTGCTAGTGTCAGGGTTAATAGGAGTCACTTTTGTTGACTTTCTTTTATTTAGTATTTGGAAGCTTAACTAAATACATAGGTAAGTGCTGTGAACAAATGTAATTGCTGTTATTGCTGTGAGGATATGTCAGATTGCATTGTAACTTAAAGCACTGGGACTTTAAAAATTGATCGAGTTATGTCAAAAAAAGAATTTTAGGATGTAGAAATCTGAATTAAGAGTGAGTGTTCTGTTCCAAGGAAGCAAGAGCAAATCAGAGGATTCATCCGTATTAAAAGATTGGTAAAATTTTAATAAACATAAATATTTCTTCTAGTGCCTGGAAAAACTATGTGCCTGAACAAAGGTGGGGTTAGCTAGAGATTCTCTGTCTTTACACAGAATTATTCTGTAAGGTTAAATGTGATGTAATACATGACAAGTGTCTGAGACCCAGGTCTTAGCACCTAACAGACACTTTGAAAATGCAGGTTCTCCCTTCCTCTTTGTAACTCCTCACTGCTTATAGCTAGATATTTATGACTCTTTCATTCATAAATTTGCCCAAACCCTTTGTGAAACCCTTCTGTCATATCCTTTTGGTATAAAAAATGTCAGCATCCAAGAAGGAACAAAGAAGAAAATTGAAATGACAGTCTTCCAGGTACTATAAGATAACATTTTAATGAAAATTGCCAAAAATAAACAACATGGTATGAAGGCATATATAAGTCTTGTGTCTCAGTATACAGTCGCACACAAGTATCCTTATGGTCCTCTGCAATCAGATCAACAAATAGTAGATCAAAAAATATTTGCTATGCACTCATTGTATGCCAGTAACTATGCTATGTTAGGTGTCTTGGAAGATGCAAAAGACAATTAGACTTTGTCCTCTACCTCATGGGTGTGGGGTAGGAGACTGATATAGATGTAGGGACCTTTGCCAGTGGACAGATAGTTGTAATACAGAGCAGAATAAGAACCCTAGGATAAGGCTGGAGATGTGGCTCAAGTTCTACAGCATCTGCCTAGTAAGCTAAGTGTCAGGCCCTGGATTCAAACCCCAGTATTGACAGACAGACAGTCAGATACCAGTGGCTCTCACCTGTGCTGTCAGCTACTCAGGAGGCTGAGATCTAACAATCTCGGTTCAAAGCCAGCTTGGGCAAGAAAGTCTCTTGGCAAGAAAGACTCTTATTGCCAGTTAACCATCAAAAAGCAAGAAGTAAGAGGTTTTTCCTTTGTCATTATTGTTTTTAATGTACTATGTGATTTTCTTGTTTCTTTTGTATGTTTTCCCCCCATGGTATAACCCCTGTTGTCACTGTATTTGATTCCAGTACCCTGCATCTTGTATATACATTTTTCTAATTTAGGGAGGGGAAGGATATAGCAAAATGCCGAAACAAGGATACAGGTTGATCCATTGTAACAATGAGTAGAAGACACTATGTTGAAAATGACCTTTTCAACTTGGGGAGAGGAGTTGGGGAGGTGGGAAGGGAAGGGATAGTAGGGGAAAACAAATGAGGGGGGTAACAATGCTAGATAGGAAATGTACTCATTACTCATTTAACTGTAACCCCTCTGTACAGTATCTGTACAATAAAAAATATTTCAAAAAAAGGTGTGGCTCAAGTGGTAGAGCACCAGCTTTCATCAAAAAAGCCAAGCAAGGGCTGGGAAGGTGGCTCAGTGGGAGAGTGCTTGCCTTGAATGCATGAAGCCCTGAGTTCGATTCCTGAGCACCACATTAACAGCAAAAGCCGGAAGTGGCTCTGTGGCTCAAGAGGTATAGTGGTAGCCTGAGCTGAAGAGCTCAGGGTCAGCACCCAGGCCCAGAGTTCAAGACCCACAACCAACAAAAAAAAAAAAGCCAAGCAAGAATGTCTAGGCCTGAGTTCAAGTGTTGTTGAGATCGGGGGTGTGAGGGGGAGGGGCAAGATGAAGTGGGGAAGGGAGAGGGAGAGAGAGATAGATGACAAAGACAGCAGAGAGAGAAAGATGAGACAGACAGAGACCAAGAGAAGAACCCTAAGATAGTAGCAGCAGTGACTGTGGGGATTTGCATCAGACTTAAAGGGAATACAGGAGATGAAAATGTGCTTGAGAAATGTAGTGTTGTCACGGGGTCAAACTATTGCAGCAGTCAGCTTCAGCCTGGCTGACCTCCGCATTGTTTCTGTTTGTGTTTTTGCTCTTAGTCTTCAGCTTTTGTTTTCTTCTCCCCTGCGACAGTAGTCCTCCACCTCTTCCAACTGCCCTTTTCCCACTTCACTACTATGCCTCCCAAAAAACCTTAACCTAAATCTAGCAAGCCCCTCCAATTCTTCCTTCATGTTCAGTTGTTCCTTCATTTATTAAACACATTTTCCTTGGGCCTCTACTACTTGCCAGGCCTTATTCAGGTCTGCATTCAGAGGTACAAAGACTAGCAGGATAAGACCCAGTGTGCTAAAAAATCTCACCATCTAATAGAGTTGAGGAAGCAATGTGCTGTAAACTGAGACAAATGAGGAGCATAGAAGAACTATTTCAATCATCCTTTGATCTGAATCATAGAGGTTGCTTGGGAGTTTTCTAGGTGGAATAAGGAGGAGGAAAGAATTCTCCACTGAAGTAACTGAGGTTGGAAAGGACCCATAGGAAGATGTGATGTGTAGAACATAGAATGTGTGAGAACATAGACTGTGATTGTCAGACGGATTAAAGCTTGAATGGAAAATGGGGGACTATAAAGTACCTTGAATGAGTATATGGATATTCTGTAGTCTAGTAATTTTATTTAGACTCCCTGATGTAGGCTAAAGTATGGCAGTTTTATATACAGATGGAGCATCTCATCCAAAAATCCAAAATCTGAAATAACTTTCTTAGAAGCAACATGGTAATGTTCAGTATCAACAGATTTCCTAACAAAAATATTTGTTCAGATTTCTTTTGATGGATTAATTATGAAAACTGTGTCTCATTCATATTAGGAAATACATATAGCTATTAAAAGAAGTTTAGTTGATTTACATACAGAATGTATGTATGGATTTATTTGGGAGGAATAACAGTTTAACAGTATTAGTCTTTCAATCCATTAATTTCCTTTATCTTTCCATTTATGTAGGTCTTCTTAAATTTCTAATTTTTATTTAGAGTCTTCATTAGATCTTGCATAAGTTTCGTTAAATTTATCTGCATTTAAAAACTGATTTTATTTTATATGGCTTTTCTTTTTGTGTATGTGTTCATCCTGGGGCTTGAAATCAGGGCCTGGATGCTGTCCCTGAGCTCTTTTGCTCAAGGACAGCTGTCTACCTCTTGAGCCAGAGCTCTACTTCTGGCTTTTTGAGGGTATCTTATTGGAGATAACAGTCTGGTAGAGCTGGGCACCAGTGGTTCACTCCTGTAATCCTAGCTAATCAGGAGACTAAGATCTAAGGATCATAATTCACAGCCAGCCCAGGCAGCAAAATTTGTGAGACTCTTATCTCCAATTAACCACCAGAAAACCGAAGTGGCTCTTTGAGTGAAAGTGGTAGGGTGCTAGCCTTGAGTGGAAAAGCTCAAGGGACAGTGCCCAGGTGCTGAGTTCAAGCCCCAAGACTGGCAAAAAAGAAAAAGAAAAGAAAAAAGAAAAAAAAGAAAAAGAATCTATTCCTGCCCAGGCTTGCTTCTAACCTCAGTCCTCAGATCTCAGCCTTATGAGAAGTTTAGGATTACAGGCATGAGTCATTGGCACCCAGTTTATGCCATTTTTTTGGCGGGGGGGGGGAGGGCGGGGGTTCCGGTCGTGGGGCCTGAACTCTGGGCCTGGGCGCTGTCCCTCAGCTCTTCAGCTCAAGGCTAGCGCTCTACCACTTGAGCCACAGCGCCACTTC